TTTCACTCTGGCAGAAGCTACAATCACTGAAGCACGGAATGTCTGGACTTGGTCTGGCCTTTGGATTTTGTCTCAACGGTCTAAAGAAGGAGCAGGGAGACAGTAAATCTTGGGCAGCCATACTCCTCCATACTCTTGCCTAGGGGTATGCGTCAGAGGTCTTCATGTGGTGGCCATAGACCTCTTACATATACACCATCATCCAGAGGATCAATGGTTGCCTACAATTAACTTTTGGAACCTTTTGCCACTAAGGCACAATATTTTCATGTTCTTTTCATAAGGAAGCCTTTCCTTGACTCTGATAACAAGGTAGCTGTGGGCATGGGTGGATCTAGGATTTTGAAAAGGGGGGTGTAGATGGTGTATTATATGGGATGATGTACCACAACAAATTTTTCTCCAGGTAAAAAGAAATTAGAAGCTTTATTAATATGCTAGGGGCCTACGACCATATTATTCAGTTGCAGATTGAAGCAGAAGTAAAGTAACTTTATTGGAAAGAGTTAAAAACAGTCTGCAGGGTTATGAAATAGAAGCTATATTACGAGCAGCTAACAGACAGAAAGGCTACCTTGATTAGTGAAGCATCAAAACTATTAAAAAAGGAGAGAGGGTCATTAACACCTGTGGAATGAAGAGCGTAGAAGGAATCAGTTAGACATTAAATAAGTCACGAATTCTATTGTTACACTCAATGCTGCCTGAATAGAAATGCTGCTGCCACTTCTAGGCAGTTGGTTTTAAACTTTCGGTGGAGCAGAGATTAAGAGGGGTGCAATTGCACCAGTGCAACCCCACCTCTATCCATTCCTGGTTGTTTCTCTCCAGTGTATTCTTTGGGGTAAATTAATTCCAGAAAAGGTGATTTTTTAAACCTCATCTACACTGAAAAGTTTCAGGGTTTGTTTTTTTTTTTTTTAATCTAACTTAAATTTAAGGAAGAAATCAGAAGCCAGGTATGTACAAAGTGCAATAAAGAATTGTTGTCTAATAAAGAAGTCCCAAAATTAACCTGTAATGCTGTTTTCTGATAAATTATCCTTTTAGTCACGTGACAGCTCTTCTAAATGGGCAGTTGATTTTTTCTGTTAGTAAGCAACAGTAGAATAGAGTAGCTAAATATATAAATACAGTATTGTAATTAGAATGCATAACATGACTAAAATATTTTTTTTTCCAAAGACCACTTCTACTCAAGTGCTAATAACAAGAAAAACTACATAATGCAGTAGAACTATCATTTTATTTTTTTTAAATATTTTGTATTTATTCAATTACCATTGTAATGTATAAAAGGATTATTAGTTTTACAATAGAAATAGTGGTATGATAGCATTTTAAAAATTGTTCTTTTTTTAACTCCGAGTAGTTATGCATAATAATAGCAGCAGATCACCACTTTTTCATTATTACTGGAAAGAAATTGATCTCTCCTAACTCTTCAGCTTCCAGATTCTCAAACTCCATTTTCATTAGACTGTCCAAAACCTTGTTCTATTGACAGATGTACAGCTTTGAACTCAAAAATCTGAAGACTACTTATGGTACTATTATATTCAAACTTCAAAGAAAGCTGCATTTTTCTACAGAAAATGCAAGAGGTTTTCCTTCAAATATAGTGACGACAGGCCTGCAGCTCAAGTACAGTTTCTCAGATGGTTATCTTTTAGTTCAAAAGTTGCATTTATAAACACAATCTATAGTATCAGTTCAATGTTTTAGTCTGGACTTTTCATTCAGGACTTTTATTATCTGGCAACGCTATACCTTCTATATCTGTTTGCTAAAGGCTTATAATTTGCCCCAAAGCCTGTGTATGCCTCTATTATTAAAATAGTAGCCAACTGCCCGTCAAGAAGCAGTGGGCCCAGGCTGACCCGGCGGTGGCAGGGGGATGGGAGGAGCAGGCTCGAGGCTGACGCGGGGGAGGGGCTGCGGGGGAGCTGTGCTCGCTCCTCCTCCCCCGCCCCCACATCAGGCCCAGGCCAACTCCTCCCTTCCCACACCGCCCACTCTTCCCCGTGTCAGGCCTGCTCCTCCCCCCATCACCATCGCATCGGCCTTGCAGGCGGCGACAACAGAAAGGGGCAGGGTTGGGCTGAGGCCAGCACTGGTGACCTTGGTCCCCCACAGTGTCCCTACCTCGCTTCCTCCCCACACCACTGCTGCCGTCACCTGCAAGGAGCAATGGGAGGGGCGTGAGACCAGCTCTGGTGGCCTTGCCCCTCCGCTCCATCATTGCTACCTGCAGGGGGGAGTGGAGGGCCAAGGCCAGCTATGTCCCCCGCCTCGTGTCCCACCATCATGGCGGTGTGCTGCCACTTATCCGAACGCTTCTTCGCATTCTGATTGGCTGTTTGTCAGTCAATCAGAGTGCGAATAAAGCATTATAGACAGACAGATTAAGGCTTTTATAATATTAGAATGCTGTATTACCAAGCTTTAGTTGGAGTTTTAGAAATGCAAGGAATGCAGGAGCAGTTTCTAAAACCCTTGGTAAACAAGCACCAGCTGTTTAAGGTGCAGCTGAAACTATTGGCTATGATCTACGTACAAAAGAATATTCAAAGATAATTACAACCCAGAAATCCATGGGTTATGACAGGGTTTCAGACAGTTGTTAATAACTAGGTTTAAGGTTTCTAGGATTAGCAGCAGTAACCTGTTCATAAGAAACCCTCAATTAGTAAACCTTGATCCTGCCTGAGTTCAAATGTGGCTAGTTTAATCAGAGTCCAGTGAAAAAGACATTCTGGTTTTATGACAACCATAAAAGATGAAATCCTCATTCTCTCCCAAAGATGGTGGGCTGAACTACTACTGACCAGAGGCAGCCTTAGAGATGGGTGGGGTGGGCAACTGCCCAGGGTGCTCTGGTCTGAGGAGCATCTCACACACATGGCCTGCCCTGCCTTGCTGTTTGTGCAGGGTGGGAGCTGTCAGGGGACTTGTGTGACAACTAATCCCCAGGGGTTGGGCAGCAGGGCCTGCCACTCCTGGCCATATCTGGAGCTGATTAGAACTAGGCAGCTGGGACAATGGGTTAAGAAGTCCCCAGGCAGCATCAGGCACTACCAGTCAGCGTGACACGCCAGGAGGAGGGTGCCAGGGGCCAGGCCAAAGCCAAGGCAGCAGTGTGCAGCAAGAAGGCAACGCAGCTAGGCAGCCTCAGGTTGTGCACTAGGGTCTTCGCCATCATCAACCTGCTGGGGCTGGAGGCTCCCTCTAAGCTGCAGCTCCCTCTCCCTGCCAGCCACCACCACCACCACCACTGTTGAGGGTGAGGGTATAGCAATGCCCTACCACTGGGGCTGGGCTTCCTGTATAGGCAGCCCTGCCTGCTGCCAACCTGCCTGCCTTTCCTGCCATCAAGTCTCTACTACCCCCTGACCCTTCTGCCTGGCACCGGCCCAGCATCTTGGGTGAGCAGACATGCTGCCCTGTAACAGCCCAAGGGGTCCCCTGCCACCTGCAGATGCTGGGGCACGCATGCACACTACCCACCCCCTGCCACACACCCAACATACATAGTGCTGGTGACTTGGGGTGGGGGGAGGTGCCACGGATGAGTGGGGGGTGGGGAGCCAAAATACAAGTTCACTCAGGGCACCATTTTCCCTAAGGCTGGCTCTGCTACTGACTCCTGTAAGTTTTCTCTTGAGCCTCACAATATTTGTTTTTCTTAATGCCACATTTCCTGAAGGGCTTTGTTGGAGGAAAAGTTCGGTTTTCATTCAATGAAAAGATGGTAAACCTGAAGTGTACCCCCTAATAGCTCTAATCTAGCAAAGAAAAAAAACCTCAACAATTATTTATATAAATTTCATCAGTCTTTGGGGATTTGACTCAGGATTTTTGAATGATTAGAAATGGTAGTAGTGTATCTTTTAGCTTATTGTTGGGTTGTGTTTAACTGGTCTAGTTGTGAGACATTGAGGTGTCCAGTTGTTTCAATGATGTGTGTTTAGACAAATAAGGGTTTTAGAAATTCACCGTGGTAACATAGTAATGTGATCTCAACATCATTTGATAGCACACAGTATAAGATGAAAAGTCTGATGTAAATGGCAAGTTTCCAGAGAAGTTCAGACAAATGCTATTCTATTATAACAAAACTAATACTAATTCTGCTCATGGTGTTAAAGGTTTTGAAAATAAAGTGAAGAAAAAGATATTGTGACGGGAAAAAAAAAAAAACCACAATAAAGTTTTCTAGTTGCTGTTGGATTAGCAGTCTAAGGATTTTCTGACAGCCTGTGATCTTTTCACAGCTACTGACTATCAAGCAACCACAGATTACTTTGATTTAAGGTCCACTGCAATAAATAGGGGGAAAAAAATCTCAACAATCTCCTAGTTATTGCAGGTTTAACATAAATGTAGTTTGGAAACAGGCCATTGATGGAAAATAGCAATGAAATGCTAGGTTTGGGAAGTTTTGGATGGGTAAAAAGAAACAAACAGTAATAATTCAGATTTTACTTTCAATATGTAATTAGATGCATTACATTTTAATCAATCAGAGGCAAGAAACAAAGAAATGTTTCTACAGTATCCATATATAACAATCTTCCTTACACAGTGTGACGGCGACGGGCCGCCGTCATGGGTACAGGCGGAGGATAGGCAGGACAAGGGGGCAACAACACCCCCTCAAGAAAGCCACGGGCCGGGCTGCTCACCCCTGGGAGGGACGGCGGCATTGGAACTGGGACGACAGCAGCAGACAGGGCCGCCATTATGGCCGTGCGAGCCGGCACTACACCGGCTGTTTAAACAGCTGTTCACAAACAGGGGAGCAGCTGAGCTAATCGACGCAGCCCCCCGAGGGTGGGGGCG